AAGGAGAACAATTGCTAATACTTTGGTTTAGTCTAGCCTTTTGCTCCTTATGCAATTTATAACATTTGAAAACTTAAGGGGCAGGGGAGATGACTCAGTAGAATAAGCGCTTGCCGGACAAGTGCAAGGGCCTGAGTTCAATATCCGGTTCCGCAAAAAAAAAAAAAAAAAAGAAAACAAAAGACTTACTGCATATAAAGTTTACGGACCTGTTTCCATTAAAAGAGTAGCACTTTTCCCATTGGTACAAAAGCCTGGTAAATGTTAGAGAATTAGAACTCAGACCGCATCTGACACTTTCCCTACACTCAGTCTTGAATTCCAAGCACTTTCCTGGTTCCTTCTGTCTCTCGCAAATGATTTCCACTCCATCTTCCTTTATGGAGGCCCCTGCCCACCCTTAGATGCTGACTTCCTTAATGTTATTTCCTCAAACTACTGTTCTTTATATTATGCTAATGCCACTCAGTCTCATGTTTTGAGCTTGTCCTTTAAAAGGTGAGACCCCAAATCTATCTCTTTCTATAAGAGAGGCTACAAAACCTGAGACTTTCACCACCCAGCATGGTGTCTGATGAGCAAAGACCACCCACAGCCACAACTCAACCTGCTCCTATCTGAACTTGATGCTCCTGAACCTGTTTTCCCCTACTTTTCTCTCACTTGGTGGCATCGCAATCCCTCCTTGGGGATCCTGTCACCCTTTTTACCACCACCACATTTAGTACAAAACCTGGTCCAATACCCACAAAGTGTTGCTAGACCCTTCTGTCACAATAGGCGAGCTTCTCGCATCTACATAACACCCCAATTCCTGTTATAGCAGCCTCTAGAATTAAGCCCTCATTCTTGTCGTCTTCTTCTCTTGGTTTCTACTATAGATAGGTTTTTCAAGGTCTGTTACACTAAAGGGTAAACTCATTCAGAGAAGGATCTGTGTTTCATTTATGCTTATATCCCTAGTAACTACCAGTAGCAAACGTTCCTTTTATTAAGCATGACTTAACCTTCATTTTGTAAACAATTGTACAAATCTGTGACTTATTATATATCCATCTTTTTACTGTATAACATTGTTTTAAATAACCATATGACATTATAACATTTCACAGTAACATTTAAAAATATACATTTTCTATGATAGAAATTTTTAAACATTATTCCACTTAATTAACTGATGCAAAGTCAGTATTCCACTTGAATTCAAAAGTAATATTTAAAAATTAAACCTCAACCTTTAACCTAGCATGAGATTTTAAATTTGTTAAGCATATAATATCATCTATTTAAAAAGTTTACTATATAAATGACTGATAAGTATACAGTTCTATGTCAGTACTTTATTCTTTAGTGACCCAAAGTCAGCTAAATATTTCATTTACCAGAAAATAAAACTTAAAACCTTAACCCAGTATGAAAAGCAAAAATTGTTAAATTTCATCTAATATATATATATACACATACATATACACACAGTATATCACATCACCATGTTAAATATGTAAATTCCTCACATACTTCTTATAAAGGCATAGGGACGCAAAATATCTTTCCAAGTGAATCTACTTTAAATAGCATTCTTCAAAAGAGCAGTTTTCTCAGCTGGTTTGCTTTGGATTTCCAGCAGCAGTGATTGCAGGTTAGCAGGAAAGCTGTGGTTTTGGAGAGCCAGCCCTGATTACTTCTCTGAGCCCAGCAGCCCAGCAACCAAGTATGTCTGAATCCACGAAGGCTGCTCACGCAACCTAACTGGGCCAACAGGACATACTGACTAGAAGGTTGTGATGTACTCAAGCACACCGAAAGCCACAGAGGTGCATCACTACAAGGCTCTGGCCAGACAGCCTTTGGACGCTGACAGAAACTCTACTCACGCGTGAGGAATAGCTGGGTCATAAACCCCCAAGCTCTTTGATCTAAGAAGGGAAGGCATTCCAGGCAGACCCCTCAGTTCTCCCCTTGCATGGTGGTTACAGTTTAATTTCTTGAATGTGGAAGGAATCTTGACTCTGATTAGTTCCAGCTCTGCAGCTGAACAAGAAGGGATGCAAAGCACCAGACTAGCAGAACACCACAGACAGAGCTGAGCAGGAAACTTGTTAGATAGGAGTAGGAGGATCACTGAAATTCAGCTCAAGTGTTACCGCTGGTGAACTGGTACATGCTTTTGTGGAGAGCAACACTCAGAATACTCCAAATGCACATATCCTAGGACCTGTTATACATCTAGGAATTTATTCCTAAATCACTGCGCGGCCATATGGTGTTTTGTTGTTGTTACTATTTATTTTTTTGAAACAGGGTCTTACTTTGTAGTGCAGGCTGGCCTTGAACTCACTATATAGCCCAGGCTGACCATAAACTCACTATGATCCTCCTGCCTCAGCCTCCCAAGTGCTGAGATTACAAGCCATGGTCCAGCATCCTCAGTTTCTATATATTTAGATATAAGAGCACTACTGTAATGTTTGTACAAATCAAAATAGAAATAACAAAGGAAATGCTAAACAATCCTTTTAAAAATATGGCAGTGCTGTGTACTTGTAGATGGATATGCATTTTTAAGTGAGGAAACAAGTTAAAATAGGCATAGCGTGTACCTAATGTTTATATATAGATGTTTGTCATGGACAGGAATCTTTGGAAGCATACACAAGATACTGGATAATAACATTAACCCTTCAGAACTGGGGCTTCTAGCAAGAAGGAAATTTTTTTTTTTTAAATTTATTTGTGTGTGTGGCCAGCTCAGCCCACCAGGGGGCGGTGCTGGCTGGCATGTGGTGCTGGGGGATTGAATTGGGTCCCTGTGCTTTGTTAAGCTTGTTCTAAGTAGGTGCTTTAGACCACTGAGCCATCTCACCAGCCTGAGAAGGAAATTTTTTAACAATATGAATGTGTGTGTTGTGTGTTGCTAGTAACTAAACACATGGTCTCACACATGCTACGCAAGCACTCTAACACTGAGCTATATCGCCAGCCCCTCTTTATTTATTTTATCTTTTATTCAGGGATAGGTTCTCATTAAGTTGTCCAGGCTGGGAACACACAATCTTCCTACCGCAGCCTCACAAGTATTGCATTACTTTTACAACTTAAAAAAAATTTTTTTTTCAGCACTGTGATGAAATCCGGGGTCTTCACACTCACCTACATCCCTACCCCTTTTTAATTTAGCAAGAAGGTCTATGTCCCTAAATTGCCCAGAATGGATTTGATCTTCCTGCTTCAATCCCAAGAGTGCTGAGTTCACAGACTCATACCAGGAAGCCTGGCTCATCTCCAGTACCTTAAAAACTTTTTGAAAATTAATCTTTTTTTTAAATTTTGAGACAAGGACTTGCTAAATCACTCAGTTGCCCAGGGTGGACTCAAACTTGCAATCTTCCAGTTTCAGCCCCATAGTATTCAGATTACAACAACTTTTAAAGGGAACACTGCACGTCTCCGACGCGGATTTCTCCTGTTACCAGCCCCTCTCAACCCTCTTGAAATCTCTCTAGCACTGTAAATATCTTACAGTTATTGGCAGCTTGGTGGAGATTTATTTCCAAGGCTCAAGTGAGATAGATATTAATTCATCCCTGAGTTGGATCCATAACAAACATCTACATGAGTCTGTAAACTCAGCACTCTGGGATTGAGTAAGAAAAAAGGAACACTGGAGAAATCTCTAATATGGTTTATAAATCAGAAATTTGTTTTACAAATATCCTAAACTATCCCTGGACACTTTTCTTAGGACTCGTTCATATTATTATGTACCCCATTCCCCAAATACAAAGAAAGTTCTACCTTGGAGGGCTTGTAACCAAACAGCATTACAACAGCAACCTTGAAGTCCTCTCTGCTTAAATAGCCTTTATTATCTTCATCACAGGCTTTAAATACCTAGAGAATATTAAATATCTTCAGTTAGTGAGACAGAAACCGTTCACATTCAATTTGAACTTGAAAATATGTAAAACTCAGTCCCGTAGAGGGACTCTAAAAAGAGGTTTCACTGTCCCAATTTTAATTCACAAAAACTCTTAATGATGACCAAAATCTACCCCCTAAAAAAGTGCAAACGACTTAACTTCTAGACTAAGTCTACCCATAATTCAGTCGAGTACTTAGGAAGATGAGGCAAAGGCGCTGGCTTTGAACAGCAGGAGAAGAGTAGTAAAATCGAGATTATTAATAGACTATGAAAGGGGAGGAGCTGGGAAGTAGAACACCTGAGGGAGCCAGAGTCTGGCAGCTCCAGGCCTGGCCAATAATCACGACCCTTTTAGGGCCGCCCGGGTCTCTTCTATAACCCGGCCAAGCCGAAGTCTAACACTCAAAGTCGCCCTCTGGACACCTACTTGGACCCACTTCCTGTGTTCCGAGGGGCTGGTGTCCCACGTCCGCGGCAAGGCTCCGGCTTTTGCAAGAGACATCGCCACCGCCCCTACCAACTCTTGAACTACCAGGTCTGGAACCCCGCGGAACAGCGTTCTTCCAGTCGTGACCACGCCCACCGCACCTCAGGAAGCTAAACTTCGCCGCGCAACTCCAACGTCTCCTCCCATTGGACGGCTTTCGAACCACTGGCGTTGATCCTGCAGTATCATTGGTCAGGAGCAGTGTTTAACAACGTTCCTATGGACCAATCTGGAACGGGAGATTTTTTTCCAGGCCCGCCCCCAGCACCGGACTCCGCCTCTTGCCGACCTCTTAACTGCGAGGTACACGTAGGTGTTTCTCCAATACATCTTGGTTCACAAATTCTCTACTAACCTTACAATAAATTCCTTTGGCTTATTTTGCTCCATCACTAGACTAGACATCATGAGAGACATAAAATGAATGACAACAAAGCGCAAAGAACCGAACAAGTCCGGTCAAGTCCAG